AAATCGGAACACATTCTCAGTTTACGACTAGGATCTACTGGATGTTCACTCCATGGTTCTAACGTATTTTGAACCCCGAGATGTCTCCACATTGTTCGGTTCCATGTTGCCCCATCACTAGTGACAACATCAATGCGCAAACCTGAATTCTCACACAATATGATGCATTCCAGTATAATTTTCGCCTGGATATCTCCGTTTATATTCCCTTTGGTTAGGAAACATGCCAGAGCCTGCAAACCGTGTCCTGCAAAGGGCTGGAACATCACAACCAGAGCATGGTCACCAAGAGTGTTCTCCAGTTTATTCGGTGTATAACTGCCGAGATCAACGAAACCGATAAATTCCATCATATTCTTATCGAATTTTTTCGTGGCTGTGATCTTACACTCATCGATGAGTAGGCAACCATGTCTCTGCCATTCCTTGTAATCTTTCGTTTTCATTTTGATCATGTCAAACACTTCTTTATTGAAACCAAAAGTACCATCTATGTTTCTTATGTACCTAAATAATTGTATTAAATTTTTCAATTATTGACAGATGAATAAAGGTAGTTATTCTTTTCAGAGTCAAGAGTGCTTCTTTCACTTATCAGTAGATACAGAATATTTTAATTTGATTATACTGAAAATACCCAATGAAAAGTGAAAAATAAAAAATCTCAAGATGTTGAAATTTTGAAAACAAATTTTACAAACTAATGAGTGAAACGGTTGAAGAAACATAATGCTAACTGGAGAATTGATGGCCAAAAGGGCACTAGTAGCTGTCTGCAAATAAAAATGTAAACAAAAATATCACTTCTATGGAGAAATTAGGAAGAGAGTTTAGTACACTAATCAATTATTATCTTTATATGAAAAAAAAATCTGTATGGTATAATTTCTCCCATTATTTTGTGTTGTTGCTTTATCATCCTCTTAGTATTCATTCATTGATGAATCAAAAGATAGTAACATTTTCCAGGACAAAAAATATGAGAGCTTTTTACAAACCGTATCTCATAGTTTTGTTTTTTAATAATAAAGTAAGTAGATGTTCTTATTACTTCAAAGGAAATAATGTTTCAATTGCAAGATAAAAACCTACCTTGACAGTGTACTGGGCGATGGGAGTGATAATATATTATTATCCCTCAAATGGTTATAAAGTTTGGTACTTTTGATTTTCATCAGTATACACTCGTATATCCAATCTAATGTGTATCTGTTGCCAGTTCCCTTTGTTTTGGCAGCTTTAATACATGCTCCAATCATTTCTTGTTGGGGTTTTGGTAGATTTTTGGTTAAAGATTCTACTCTGTGCTCGTCAACAATCTCCTTTTTTAAGTTCAATATAACATTTTTGAAGTGCCTGTTTTGTTTCTTATTATATGCCAAGCTTCTCATTTTATTTTTTTTCAGTATCTCACGTTTATTTTTTTTATTTTTATTGGACTTCAAAAAGAACTTGTAACTAGAACAAGGTTTACATAATGCCATTTTATGTCCAAGAATTACACAGCAAGATTTGCTGATTCCTTCACAAATCTTAGCATTATCCAATTGTGAAATAAGTTCCAATAAATCTGACACAGTTTTCACTGGCTCATTGAGATCTACCCATATATTTTTAACTTGGGCTTTTATTGATTGCTTTGCCACAAGCACAAGTCTTTCAATAGATACAGTTTTGTCTCCAATGAACATTTTTGAAAATGAGAATGTATCAACTAGTTTATGGATGCCCCAGGCTAGAGGAAGTGGAATGGAATGGGGGTCAATTTTCATCAGAGTTTCAAATAATGTGTCAAGTTCTGGTATGGTGGATGGATGAGGAGATGGAAGGGAGTAATTGTGGAATTCGTCAATTTCTTGGATACATGATTGGGACGTGGAAGCTTCTTGAGGAAGAATACTGGGACAATCTTCAATAATTTCATCAATACAGAGTCTGCAAAAGGAATGAAGTGAATTCAAAGTCAACATTATTCAAAAGTTTTTTATAGATGATTAGAATTTATAGTACATTGCCTAAAATTTGAGAACAATGTGTTTTGATATGCCATAACATTATTCACAAAATATTTACTATGCCTGTGCTTTTATCAATGATATAACATATACAGGGGTGGCCTAAAATTGCTGGGACACAGAGCTAACACATTTAATGCAGTTCAAAATAAGTTAATTGGACCCAACATATTTATATAAGCGATTTTCCGTGAGCCGGTTCAAAGTTTACATGAAAAAACATTTTTGTAGGCTATCCAAAAATGAGTGAAACAAATTGGACGAAATTTGACAAATTTTAGGGGATATATAACCCTTCTTTCAGTGATCAAAAAAACCCAATTGTAGCCCCTGCATTTTTTTTCCAGAACATCTTTAGCAGGGTGCTAATAGGGTTCTCAAATTTTCTATACAAGATGACTGATAAATTTTCTTCTTTTTGTTCTTGTAAAATTTTCCGAAGGAAAAGAATGTTTTTCTACATAATGCTAACAGATATTCCTAGTAAAAGTTTAATATCATTATAATGAAAAAAAAAAATAGTGGTAACAAAGGCAGAATGTCTTTTTCAAAATTAATTTTCAATATGATGCTTACCTTCATCAATACAATGTAAATTCCTTGGTTTCCACTGCCAATTTGGTATTCAAATATTTTATCAAACTTTTACTAGAAATATCTGTTAGCATTATTAAAGAAAACATTTTTTTCCTTCTGAACTATGCGGAATAAGAAATTTTCACATGAGTAACAAAATGAAGATAATCAATCAGCCATGTGGCTCAAAAAATTTGAGAACTCAATTACCACCCCTAAGAATGTGCTGAAAAAAGTTTCAGGGTGCGAGGGCGGTTTATTCAACCCATCTTGTTTGAACCTTGAATTCGTCTAAGGGACAAATGGTACATTTTGTTATATAAACAAATTGGGTCCAATCAACTTTTCTTGACCTGTATTACATGTGGTAGCTCTAGCTCTATTTCCCAGCAAGGACACCCTGTATACATATATAACAAACCATAAAGAAACAAAATTTGATTGTACTTGATAATCTTTTAATAGCCATTACCAGATAACATCTATTAATAGTTGAATTATTGAAATAAATCCAATCCAATATCTAACTCTACTGCTTTGAATTAAGCTTTGAATATTCACTTGAGATACCTCCTTACATTGTTTTTTTAGATAAGTTCTCAGATGTATTCATTGATTTGGTTGAAGAACAAAAGTGAAATAAAATTTGTCAAAAAAAAAAGTCCTAGTATGTTTTATTATCAATTTCTCTTGGGGGAATGTTGGCAAGGTATACAACAGATATCCACTCAATTTTATGGAAATGGAGGATTATTTGAAAGTACTGCTTAGATTTTAAAACAAAATGGAATTTGAAGACCACCACCAATTCCTCAGATTCATCTCAAAATTGATAAACAATATTTCAGGGGAAAAAATCTTCAAGAAGTTTTGCAAGGCCTAAAACTTTTGATTTAAGAGCCTGCAAAATGTGCAGGAGTGCAGCAGAATATTTATTCTAAAGTGCTAATTGTTGATTGAAGGATCACTTTGGTGTTCCCTAGTATTTAATGAACTGAAAATAAATACCTGGTGCCACCTTACTCTGATTTGAAAACAGTTTTTGGTTTTGCTGAGATTTTATATTCATTCAATTTGGTTGAAATATGCATATATTAGTTACTGAACACCCTGTAAACAGTTGCAAATTATAGTGAATCTTCCATATTATGTTATTGGTGTGATGGGCTCATAAATAAACTAACTAATCATAATAGAAGAGATATGTTATCAACAAAAAAAATAGAAAGTTTCTAAATGAAGAAACCTATGTATATAGGTACTAAAATAAATTATCAGTAGGTATGCTTACAATGGAATTTGAGTTGAACAAATTATTGAGAGAACATAAATAGGACTCTATTCATAAGGACCCAATAAGTTCCTACCTAAACTGACTTGAGTGGATATATAAGTATACTTACTGATACAAAATAAATACAATTAAGGTGAAATTTTGTCAAGTAGGTTTGATAAATGGACATTAATAATAAGGCTATTGATATAGATTAAGTATATAGATCCATAGGAATCAAAAGAATAGGTTTCTTTGCTAAAGATGGCAATTATGATATTGACTGATGGTCTGGAAACTGAGTAATTAGTATAGCTATATAAATATTTACTGTTTCAAAGGCACTGCTCCTTTTCTCAGCCTCATATTGTTTATGGATTCTGACGAAAAATGGCTGGAACATATCCGAAAATCTCCAGGTGGCAAAAATTTACCAACTGCGTCAGACCATTTTCTTCTAATATCATCGTCCTACATAAAATAAAATATGCATACCACGTTTAATAAGTGTTTCATTTGAAATATGTTGAGATATTAACCTTCGGGATTCTGTACAAGTGAACAGAACTATCTCTGGATTGTCCACAAACAATACAAAAATACATTGTTCAAAAAGGAATAAAACACAATAACAACACAAACACAAAAACAATACTGAACTGGAGAACTACAAAGAAAAACTACTAAACAACAGGAAAACACACAAATAACGCCAAAAGTCAATAATTTCACCAAATAATACCAAGTCACAAGAATTCAAATTTATCAACAAAAATGCCGTTTATGGACGGATAAATGTTGGATGTCAACAGCTTCTTCTTCTTCTTTCTTCTTCTTGGTTTCAACACCAAATTCTAAATTTTAAAATTTGACAATGACAATAATCGACTGTGGCGCTAACTATCGGCCATTCTCCGAAACATCACCAGGTTTTTCGTTCCCATCGATTCGTTAGGGAGAGAAACAATTGAAGAATGACCACACCATGGTTATAGGCATCTTAGCTGTGGCACTGGCGTGCATTGGCACAGTGGCACAGTTTGTACTGTTTGTAGGTTTTTAACCTTGCTCTTTTGAGATTTGGGTTTCTGATTTTTCCAGCTGACCGTGATTTTAACAATAATTTTTAACACACTATGAAAGATAATGTTTTCAAACATATCAAAGACATAGGGTTGAGGGAGTACAAAATATGTATAATATTTCAGATCAACAAATTTGAACTAATACTGTTTCAACCCTCTAATGCATGGAGAGCAGAGGTCTGTGCTTCAAGTAGTATATTAAATAAAAGTGCCTATTTTTTATCTCAAATGTCTTAGGTTTCCCAAGATGAATTGTCCGTACTGGCAAGCCAGCTGAAAATGGATCCAGATGAATACTACTCCAGGATCAAACAGTATTTATCAGATACACCTGAGAACATGACTTTCAAGGTTACTGATAAAGAGTTCATAATGCACCATACATTGGAGAATAATATTAAAATGAAGCTCTTTTTTTGTTCCTTGGAAAAAGTATGTTTCCATTGAGACAAGTATACAAGATTGAAGAATACATTTTAGGTGAATTACTGTCATTATGTAGAAAAATTATTGGATCAATATCATGAAGAGAAGAATGAATATAAAGAGAAATATGATTTGGCCATAAAAAGTCAAGATGAGCTGGAACAAAGTAATTATAATACTGTTGGGATCTTAGGAAACTAATTTATAATTCAATGTCTTTTTCTAGGCAAAGAAGAGCTTCAAAAAAAACTGCAAGAATTTGTGAAAAGAAAAAAGGATGATGATGAGGTATTATATAATAACTTTGTTCTTGTGCTTAATGAGAAGAAGCGCCAAATACAACATTTGACACAAACCCTTGAAGCTTTCAAAAGAGGTAGACCAACCCATAATCCACCAGTGAAGGTCAAAAAGGAAAAAAAGGGTACAGAAGTTCATGTTAAAAAGGAAATGACAATAGAGAAAAAAGAAGTTTCTGATTCTGATACTGATGAAGAACCTCCAAATTATAATACTGATGAAGATGATGATTATGACTACAAATCAAATGTGAGACAGAATCATGAAATAGATAACCTTCCTAGCACTTCCAAGCAAGATTTTAGTTTATTTTTGGATGATTCTCCCCCACACCACATTTTACCCAAGCGTCAAAAAACAGCTCAGACTATGGAAATCAGTATTAAAGCATCTCAGGTTTCTAAGGAGAACTCTTTTGAAGAAAAGCAAGTTACTGATGGAGCTAAAGAAGAATTAAAAGTAGACAATGAGTTTAACACCCAAGATCTCCTTGATCTCCTTTAATTTTTTCAATATTTTATATTATTTTGATAATAAATATGATTACCTGAACAAACATAATTGATTTGTATTACCACCAAAATTCATCATTCCTGAGAAAATTACGAAGGCCTGGAAGGGACATGTCATAACTTCGGAATTTTAAAATTCTGACATATCTCGGAATTTTGAATGTAAAATTCCGAGATATAAGTCGAAGAGTAGAAGAGTTTTATTCTTTTAATTTTATGTGTCCCTTCCAGGGTTTCATAGAAAATCGATATTTTTGTTTTCAAGAAAAAAAAAGTTTGTCCAAGGGCATGACCAGCTGGTCTCAGGCCAGAGGTCAATGTCGACTTACTGGAGGCAGGCTGAAAAGGGCTGCTCAGTGCTCACGGCTTTGTTCCTTTGGTGGTTCTGGCATTGTTCTGGGCAATAAAGTGAATAAAGAGAAGATTCCGATTCCACCACCAGAATCACTTTAAAGTCTATCAACATCTGAGCTTTAAAAGTCGTTTAAGTCTGCTAATATGGAGACAAAATCTAGTGATGTTACTGATGTATCGGTGGTAACGGCTGATATCAGATTCATCTTTGAGGAGAGGAACTTATTAACTGTGTTATTATTCTGGGTTGGCACCCCACGTTCTGGCAGCAATGAACTCAAAATAGGTATTTATAGTCGAGAACATTTTTAAAATTCGCGCTACTTTCACACCTTGTCATACGCCATGATTGCTGCCACTTTGGCAAATAATACGTCATTAACGTCATTCTTCATTCCATTTTTCCTTCAATGAGAAAAGTTCCCCGAAGAGGTGGACGTCCTAGTTTTTCTTTATCTGTGTACAATATTTCCCAAAAAGAGGCTAGTGCAGTGCTTTAATAGTGCAATAAAGACACATTTAGGAAATTAAACATTCTATTTAAATCACAATGAATCCAGAATAGTGAGTATCGATTTATTTATCTTCGACTTGAGGCCACTTTGACAATGGAGAGAACAATTTTGACGTGAATTGCGCAGTAAACTGGATATAAATTAACTCCTAGCGCTCCTAGTTTTTGCTTTTAATCCTTTTTTTTATTTTCTACCATATATCAATTATTATCTTGTATCAGTTTGGTGGGTTAAAGTGGCGTTCCACCCACTATTTGCTATGATATGATTGCAAATTGGACGTCATAATCACAATACATGAGTCAACTTTTTTAGTGATTGTGATTGTATACCTACCTAGCCACTTCATTTTACGTTTTTTCGATCCACAACATGGAATTTTCAAGACTGTTCGATTTCTATAAAAAAATAACATTCAAACATTGTACAAAAATCAAAATTGATATCACACTTTCAACTAGAGATAAGTACATAAAAGAAGCCTGGGTGTAAATGGGTTTTTGCCTTATAATCTATTGTTCTGAATAGGTAGCTAAAATATTTTTAGGAACATTTTTATTACCCAAAAACTGATAGAGTAGGATCTTCCATTGAAACTGGAACATTTGTTCTGATATAGTTTATTGATCTAAAAATCATTATCCCACCGGAGATCTCACCCTACTCCTACCATATGAACACTTCTTTGGTGGTATAAGTGGTATAATTTATATAGGAAAGATGCATTAACAGCTGACATATGAAGTGAAACAACCAGAAATTATATGTTAATTCTGTCCATCCTTATGTTAATGTATGTCCAATATTTATACCTATGATTTGAATGAACTCTAAAGTTGTTGAATTACCTAGGTATATCATTCAGTTACATATTAATAACAATTTTCCACTGCAAACATCCTTGAAGTATGATCTACAGTCCCAAAATAATTGTCTTCTTTCTTTATAGTACTTGATGTAGGTATCTTGTTTAGGTTAAAATCCTACTAATGAAATAATATAAAATGTTGAGAAACATGATTGTGAATTGATAAAAAAACTAAACAATTTCCTTCAAAAAATCCATTAACTTGAGTTCTTTCACTTTCAATTTTGACATCTCACCTCACATGCATGTTTCTAATGCCAACAGGTCCAGGAATAAGAGTATTTTTTCTGTGATGTGAAAAAAATTCAGAATTTCATCTCTGTTGTCAGATTATAAAATGCCACTTTTCATAAATTACTTTCTTCCCATGGGAAAAAAGTGAGTACTGTTTGCCCTGGATATATATCACATATATATACAGGGTTACTGGTAATTCAATACATTCCATTGGTGATGTGATAGGGAAGGTGGTAGGGAGTGAATTTAACCCTAATATGGATTATGCAAAAGTTAATAGTTTTTGAGATATTGAATTTTTTCTGTTCATCTCCAAAAGGTAGACTTCCAGGGTTTGAAAGTTAGTTTTCCAAAAATCAGGGTTGGCCGATATATATCAAGTGATATATATCATGATATGTATCATGATATATATATCTGATATTTATTGATTGATATATATCATGATATAATATTTATATCATTTACTTTTTAACAAAATAAATACCGGAGCAAAAAATCCTTGATATTTTGCGTTAAAAATGAATACGTGACAACAGTGCGTTTCATGGTTATAACTTACAACTCGGGGAATCCCCGGTTTTTGTTTACTGCTTGTTAGGTACATGGTACATCAGGCGTCAGGCGTGTTCATTTGTCCTTGCTCTACCTGCTGAACTTTATTTTTTCTATGACTTACTTTGTTTACATCATGCCATGAACAGAGACAACTATGGAAAAAGAATCAACTTCAGCAAGTTTAGCAATACAAACAAACAGGCCTCACGCACACAACGATTTGGTGGAAATCGGCTGCAATTCCTGACTCGGAATGGCCAAAAAAAGAACTCTTCTTACAACTATGAGCAGTTATTCAGTGCAGTAGCGGCAACAGCTGATTTAGAAAGATTTTTTTTCGAGTTTTGGAATAGTTCAATCTAAATTAAGAAATCGTCTAGGCAACGAAAAACTAAAAAGCCAGTAAGCTAGTATTTATTTTCAAATGTTTAAACCCAAATACAGATGAAAAAGCCAAAAGCTTGGACTGGATCTCGTCGAATGATGAATTAGTTGCCTTGAGTGAAGATGATAATATTGATGATTGATTATATTCCTCTTTCCCGGTTTTGCAATCCTTAAAAATTTATCAAACGACAAGTTTTTTATATTACCATATATTACATATTTTCGGAAAAATATTATTTTTTGTTTCGTGTTTTGTTATTTCAAATTAAACCGAGAATTAAACTGAAGTTTGATTTTTGTTTTTACCAAAATAAAGGTATTTTATATTGTGTTTTTTTTTGGCATATCAGCCTAGGAACAAAATTTCTGATATATATCCGATATTATGATATTTTGATATATATATAAATATCATGATATTTTGATATATATATATATAAATATGATATTTGCCAACCCTGCCAAAAATCAACTGTACATTTTCTCAACCTTTCAACTAGAATACATGATCAACACTTTGGTCACGTTTGGAATGACAAAATTTCAGATATCATTTAGATAATAGATAAATTGTAAATACAAAGTCGTATTTTTGTTTCTTAATTGTGGATTTCAACACTTTGTAGCGGTCATTTGTCAAACATTTGTTAAAACTCCCTTAATGCAATAGCTATCCAACAGGGTACAAATGATAATTAAAGTGCTTGATACGAGTTCTTCCCGGGTATTAACAGGGGTTTCATCAACTAGCGATTCCATATGACCCCACACATAATGATCAAGGGGGGTTAGGTCAGGGCTACGCGCTGGCCAACCTATTTGAACGATCAGCCGATAACGCCCTAAACATCATCCTGTTGGAATATCATGCATCAGTCCTCAGATGGCGAGAGAAACATTCCACAAGAAGTTCCTGTAGATCATGCCATTGAAAATGTTAAAATTGTCTCGGAAAAAATGTGGTCCTATTAAATAACGGTCAATGAGTTCCATCAACATATTATCAGAAAACTTCCGTTGGAAAATAGTTTTCCTTGTTAAACGAGGGTTTCCTTCTGCCAATGATGAAGGTTATGCTATTTGGATGCCACGAGCAAATAAACGAAAATGAAAACTTCCGAAAATAAATACTGATAGGCATTTTTCAAGTGTGTTCCTATTCCTTTGAAATCACAAATCCGTATCAAACACTTTTAGTTTCATTTGTACCCAATTAGATAGCTATTTCCTTAAGGAAGTTTAACAAATTTTTGACAAATGTGGCTTAGAGATTTTTATAGAAATAACCGCTAGAATGTGGTTGAAATCCACAAGTCACAAACAAAAATACGTTTCTATATCTACAATTTATCTATGTTCTAAATTATTTCTGTAATTTTGTCATTCCAAACATAAGACCATAGTGTTGATCATGTATTCCAGTTGAGAGGTTGAAAAAAATGTACAGCAGATTTTCGGAAAACTAACTTTTGAACCCTACCTTTTTGAGAAAAACAAAAAAAAATAAGTATCTCAGAAACTATCAACTCATGTATAATGCATATTAGGGTTTAATTTACTCCTCAACACCTTCCCCATCACATCTCCGAAGAAATGTATCGAATTACCAGTAACCCTGTATATACTGTTGATGGCTTTTGTTGTGCCATAGTTCCGAAAAATAAGCCAATAACACCGTCTCTGAGAGAGAACTGCAAACTGCAAGCCCTTCTTCCATTGAACTTTGCGGTTATGTAAATTACTAAACAACCACTAATAGTCCAGTCATTATAGACTTTGACCCGTGAATAATTTTTTAGTGTTTTTTTTTTTCATAGGTGTCTCGGGGGGGTCACTGGGAGTGTAAATTCAAAATGGCGACCAAATCAAGCTTTTGCGTATGTTCGAAAATGTTTTTTTTTGCTAAAAAACGTTTTTTCTTGAATAACTCGGCCATTTTTGATTCTACAGAAAAAGTTTGATGACAAAAATTGTAGTAAATTTGGTTCTCTACAAGTTTGGTCCTCACAATTTTTCTGATAGGATCGATATTTTGTAAATTAAACCTGAAAAAAGCGACAAATTCGAAATATTTTCATTATCATTTTCATTTTATTGTATACAACTTTCGCCGTATTCGTTGCACCTGCAGAATTGAAAAAAAGGAGATATTGCGAATATTTCTGAATGGGTACATATTTTCTGGTTAAATTCCGAAAATATCGATTTTCAGAAAAACAGGTAAGGACCAAATTTGTCCAAAATTTGATTCTCTACAAGTTTGTTTCTTCTCATTTATGGTGTAAAGTTGAGAATAAACGAGATAATGATATTTCGAATGAGTCGTTTTTTTTTTAGGTTTAATTCCGAAAATATCGATTTTCGGAAAAACAAGTGAAGACAAAACTTGTCCAAAATTTGATTCTCTACAAGTTTGTTTCTGTTCATTTATGCCGTAAAGTTGAAAATGAACGAGAAATTGAATATTTCGAATTTGTCGCTTTTTCAGGTTTAATTTACAAAATATCGATCCTATCAGAAAAATTGTGAGGACCAAACTTGTAGAGAACCAAATTTACTACAATTTTTGTCCTCAAACCTTTTCTGTAGAATCAAAAATGGCCGAGTTATTCAAGAAAAAACGTTTTATAGCAAAAAAAAACATTTTCGAACATACGCAAAAGCTTCATTTGGTCGCAATTTTGAATTTACACTCCCAGTGACCCCCCGAGACACCTAAGAAAAAAAAAACACTGAAAAATTATTCACGGGTAAGGTCCGTTATTTAGATATAATGACTGGACTATAAATTCACAATTTTTGAAAATCAAATCACATAATTAGACTGACATACATTTGATTACTTCAAAAGAATGATAAAGAAAAACTCCAAATTCCATGTCGTTAATTTTCGGATTTCATCATGTTCTCAATATTGATTTGTCCTTTTTCCTGTCACAGAAAAAAATAGTGCATTATTCACGGGAAAAATATCATTTTAGCTCACGCGTCGGGAGACAAGACAACCCGGAGCTACAATCTACTACTTTTTCCCTTGTATAATAAATAACTATTGATTTAAATAAAGATCAAATCATTATGATTGTACCTAATGATACAATAATAATTTTGCTAACAGTCTGATTCAACAAAGGAGTTCCCCAAGGATCAGTGTTGGGCCCAATTCTGTATCTTTTAAAGTAAAGTATGCCATGTATGCAGATGACAAAGTACTCTTTTTTTTTTGAAAACGAAAACCTTGTAATTTCAGAAAACAACATAAATGAGAATTTAAAAATAATGGATAAATGGCTATCCTCCACTTGTCATGATGCTGCTAATTCTACAAAAAAGTTTTCTGATGATATCATAAGTTGCACAAATATCACCAATTCAAAATTAAAGTCAAGAAACATATCCTCTTGCAAAGAGAAAATCAAACCTGAGTGAATGATTTCTCATTCACTAATTTATCATGTCATAATGTACTTTTTATGAGATTCATTATTATTATTATTATTATTATTTTTGTATCTGTTGTTTATTTCAATAACTTAGATTTAATAATGCATGAATAATCTCATACCAGATACGAATCTGTATGGTTATTCATGTTATTACATTATAAACCTTAATAAATATATCAATATTTATATGAGATGCAATGTAATGTTTATAACAAAGAATGAAATGAATATTAAAAAACCATCCATGCCATTCTGGTCCTAACCGCCCTCGCTAGGGGGTGTGTTTTATAAAATATTAGATATAATCATATAATAATAATAATAATAATAATAATAATATTTATTTCACTTGTTAAACCGTATGAAAGCGTTACAATAAACATTTACGTACAGTAACAAGGAATACGTCTGTGTATAAATAAGAGAGTATAGGAGATAAATATAGATATAGAAAAAAAACAAACATTTTATATAAAACGACAAAACTTGACACCTATTAATTTGGACATATACAGATGGGTGATTTATTGATTATCGTGAGTTACTAAAACTCGTCAACGGTGTAGCAGTTTCTTTCTATGAGATATTTTTTTAATTGTCTTTTGAATATAATGAAGGGTTAGGATCTGAAATAATATTCATTATCTATTATTGATTTGAATATTATATTCAATGACACTTACTACTTACTCTTTATCTTAATTTGAGTTGAGTTTGTCATATTGTCCAGCATCAAATATAAAAATATATTGAATACCTAAATTTTCAAGTACTTATTTTATTGTTAACATGAATTTGTGTATCATAACAGTTGAAGTCAGTGAGTCCGGCATTCTGAATGCCATTAAAAAAATGTTCTAATCAAAATAAACTAATCAATTTGTTATTTCACTCTATTTCATTACTTCTTTTTTGTAACTCTAAAATAAATTTACCTATAATGCTGGCATACCTATAAGTAGTAACAGCAGTAACTGGAGCAAGCTGAAAGTGAAGATAACTACAAATTATCGCTGTGTAACATATTTTGTTGAGGAATCACATGCTAATTTTAAAAGGTTGAATCAAAGTCTTGGAACAGTTCAATTTTATAATAATATTCTGTATTTTTTCAACACATTTTATTTTTTGCAGTGATTATTTATTCAAATTACTGCTCATTGGAGACTCTGGTGTAGGAAAATCTTGTTTACTTTTACGATTTGCGGTGAGTGAGATTATTAATTTTATATTTCACAATGTTGAACATACATTTTATTTTCAGGACGATACATATACTGAAAGTTATATCAGTACCATTGGAGTTGATTTTGTAAGTAGAATAACTAATTGTGTAGATATAATGTGAAATGTATTAATGAAATAATAAATACCTTTAAGACATGATTGTTCATTTGCAGAAAATCAGGACTATTGATTTAGATGGGAAAACAATCAAATTGCAGATTGTAAGTATCTTGAAGTATATCTTGACATTTTCTCGAACTCGATTATTTTTCAAGTGGGATACTGCAGGCCAAGAAAGGTTCAGAACCATAACGTCAAGTTACTACAGAGGAGCGCATGGTATCATCGTAGTCTACGATTGCACTGACCAAGACTCATTCAACAATGTTAAACAGTGGCTCGAAGAAATCGACCGCTATGCATGTGACAACGTCAACAAATTACTTGTAGGAAACAAAAGTGATTTAGTGACGAAGAAAGTCGTTGATTTCACCACAGCTAAAGTAAATAGAATACCTAGTTATAATAGTAAAGTAGGTTAATGGCCTGCGGCGTGAATAATGGCCCGATGGCGTCAGCCGAGGTCCATTATACGCAGAAGGCTACATTCTCTTGCCATGCATAATTTCATTGATCATCAGTCATTGATCATGAATAATTTGATGAAGTCAGCAGGCAGATTTACACCATACAAACCTTGTAGGACTTGTTCATGTACACAACTGTACCTGCTCAGGCCATAATGAGACCGCCGGTGCTGAAGTTCCACTTTATGCCTCAATAGTACCGGGTGTACCACTGAGAAAGGACGCCGGCTGTATCTCGGAAACTATTTGCCGCACAGGTTTCGAAAAAAAAAATATGAATAATGAAAGTGGCCAAGAGAAATCTCTGGAAATTTTCCAGGACAGCCGCTAGAGGGCATAATTGCATTGGCCAGTTTAATAAACATATCAAAAACACTTTTTTCATGTTCTCGAGTTAATTTCCGATTATTTCGATCAAAAAAACTTGCGCTAGCTCTTTAAATAAAAGAGGGAAGGAAGGATGAATAGTACTTTGACTATTGAAAATTGTCTGATTTTTCAAATGATGCCATCTAGCGGCCACCACATAATTTAAATCGACTTGATTCGTGATTCATCTGGAAGAATAATGAGACCAAGATCATTGAATTCCGTTACACCAAACTGTAGTAATGAGAGTTTTTCCAAAGTATTATTCATCCTTCCCTCACTCTTTTATTTAAAGAGCTAGCGCGATTTTTTTTTTTTGATCGAAATGATTGGAAATCAACTCCAGAATATGAAAATAGTGTTTTTGATATGTCTTGATATATCAAACTTTCATAAAAACCCGATTTATAAATTGGCTAATGCAATTACGTCCTCTAGCGGCTGTCCTGGAAACTTGAAAATAATTTCCAGAGATTTTTCTTGGCCACTGTTATCATGAAATTTTTTTTCCGAAACCTGTGCGGCAAATAGTTTCCGTGATACAGCCGGCATCCTTCCTTAGTGGTACACCCGGTAAATGAACATTATTACCATCTCATTGGAAGGAAATCTATTACAGCACATGTATGAGTAATCCAATAACTTTCTCTTTTTTCATATTAAATCTCAAATTCAAACTATATTGATGCAAAAAATTGAGAACGTTTAAATAACAGTTACTGGATTTTCTTAACACAGCATGTGGTCTAATAAGGTTTCAATTTGAATGAGATTCACATAATTATTAATAATTGTTGGAATATTTTCCTTATTGTATCTACCTATAAAACAAGTTATTTTTTAGTTGTGTGGAGATGCCACCTTATACAGGTTGTCCAATAATATCCTTAACACGTTGACTGCCGGGCTCATATACACACTGTTGGTATCAGAGCCGAAGCAAAATCAAAAATATTGTCCCAGAAACCATGAGTGACTCTATGTAGCTGAAGCCTACAAAAGATAGTATATCGTTGAAATCCTTGAAAATTGGGACACTGGATCCAAAAAATTGAAGAAATTTGGCTCGGTCTTATAGACCGAGTCGGCGCTCGTTTATACATGTATACCCGTGTACGCCGCGTCGGTCCGCCAGCTCGGTCCGTCCGGGTTCGGCCTCGGTCTAGTGCTGTGTCTGATGAGGACGATATACAATAGGTGCGTTCGGTTTAACAAAATCGGAGCCGAGCGAGCAGATGCAGATTTGGTGTCACGTGATCACCTAGCTGATAGAGCTAAATATATTTAACGAACGCTCAACGAGGTAGTAGATTGCGAGCGCCAGCTGTCAAAAGTAACAGAAAACAAACAATTCACTCAACCTTATTACTTTTAAAAACACGTCAGGGCAACAAAGTTCTTGTTAATGTTTGTTGTTTACTTGGGTTTATATTTTGAAAATAACTAGGGAAGGAATGATTCTGTCTCATATGATCGGTCATTAACTGTGAATCAGGCAGTTGTGATCGCATATATTACAGATAAATAACTAATATGCTACCTACAGCAAATTCGTCGGTCATTCTGGCGATTCTGGGCAAGGAGGATTCTACAAAATTCAGTTTCGTGTTTCGTTTCCACTCGATCAAGTCTTTAATTTTTCGACACAAAAGAGGTATATAATTTCAATAACATGTTGTTGACATCGGATTTGTTGACAACTGACAACCGAATAACCGATCAAATCTGAATGATCTGCTCCTCAAGGCGGAGCAAACAGATTACATCTTTCAGCTCGCTCTGACAATTAACGAACAAGGAGCAGATTAGACAGAGGAAGTAGATCTGATTTATCGAACGCTTTCCGAGCTAACAGATGGAATCGAGCCAACAGATATGTTATAACCGAACGCACCTAATATAAACTTGTCACTGAAGCCGTCTTGGTCGCTCTCCGCGATATTATTAACAATAATTCAGACCGACGGCTTCACGGGCGGTTCAATTGACTCGGTCCTATAGGCCGAGCCGGCCTGGTGTATCAACTCCAATCTTGGTCTATGAGACCGAGGCGGCACGTCAGGATATTTTTTTCTCGGTCTAATAGACCGACATGGCAGTCAACGTGTTAACAAGCCATATCTCGACCATTTCTAAAGATGAAGAGATACTGAAAAACTACTTTGGCATCATAGACTTTTTTTTTATTTTGGGACCTTGAAATTCCTATTCTCAACTGTCAACCGTTTTTCAGAGAAATTTAATTTTCCAGCTAGCAGCTTGTCACACATCCACGTGTATATGCATCGCACTAGTAAAATATCTGTGCTTACATACTCTTTAATCAAAGTCTGTTACTCTACTTTGAGACACTCTTTAGTTATTATTTGAAACAATGAATTACGTTAACTTTACTCTCAATCTCAAATAATCAAATAAACCTGGAAAAGGGATAGGAAGGTCCATAAATCAAACTATTCGATTACCTAACTGAAATAACTATGTTTATTATCAGATGGATAATGAATGAATGAAATGGATGAAAAAAGGATCTGGATCTAACTAACTGACATAAATTGACTTGATATTTACTGCCTCCAAAGACTAGTTGAGAAATAATGATAATTGAATATTAGCCATAAATAACCATGATAATTGAGTTATCAACTCGAGCAGTTGATAACTCTTCAACTCAATAATGAAAGTGAATATTTCGAATCACAGATTACTTTACCAGCGTTCCGCATATCACGTGACATAACTGAACAGAACAAAAATCAAAAACGAACCTTCACAAAATTGTGATAAACATTACTTTTGTATAGTTAGGGTATCACGTGACATGAGGGAAGCGAAAGCCCAGCGCCAAATTGTATCTGGCCAATCATGTGATGTTATTCCATCGTTTGGGTGGTATTTAGAAATCTCTCAAATATTTTGTATCCATTCAAAGCAATAAACTCTTCTCAGACCCTTTACAGTATGTGTTTGAGAAAGAAAACTATTTGGACCTCGTTCAGATGGACCGAGCTAGCCTTGTCCGTTTTACAATCCATAAATGATATCGAGTTGTTGGAAAAAAGGCATAGCAAAAAAAACCAACAACGTTATCTCCATATCATGTCCTTATTCATCTTATACTAATACGACAATAGTTACTTGAATCTATAAGTATTCTGGTCACAACATATCAAAACTAAATCTATTAAAATTCATTTGCGGTTATAATGGTCAACTGACGGCTATTAGAGACCCGTGCTTTATACATACTCGTTACAAGAGGGCTGTAAACCATTATTTCGGTTCGGCTCCCGATTTCGATGAACTGTGAAATATACTGGGCGATGTAATGTTAACCAGCTTAGAATTGATTCGATAATCTAATGAATGATAGAAACCTATTTTTAGTAGCTTTCTTACATTTTGAAACAACAATTAATTGAGATATCTCTTCTTGAGGACATAATAGGACAGCCTATACAGGGTGTTTCACAGATAAAGGGAAATATTTCAATGGTAGGTAGGGGTCACCAAGGTGGTTCTGAAAATACCATATTTGATAGGTTTCAGAGTCTTCATAACGGAGATACAGGGCGATTTATCGATTTCGAATAATTATTTATTCGTCTATATGTATTGACCTACCCAGTATATTTTTCTCAAATTTGGAAAGGAGCTTATACTTGGGAGGTTAAATTCATTCACCTATCGGGCGGAGTGAAAATCCAGGTTCGGCTTCAGAAAAAATTTACATTTATTCGAGATATTAAAATAACACAATACATCAAAAGAATTGTGAAGAGGAGAAAAAACTGAATTGGGTTTTTTCCCGCCACCAATTCTCATCGTAACAATCATAAACACAGTTGAAAGTATGTCAATTTGAAGAGTATTGAAATTATGAAACCAGTGTCTATGATTATTCGATATTTTAGTCAAAAAATCGCTCGAAAGAACTTACGAAGTCTCACAGTTTTTATAACAGAGGTACAGGGTTAATTATCGGTTTTGAATAATTATTCACTCGTCCATAAGTATTAAACTACCCAGTAACATTTTCCCATATTTGGTATGTAGCTTACTTGGGACGATGGATTCATTAACCTATCAGGCGGAATGGAAATAATACCAAAACATTATGATTCGATAATTCACCCTGTATCTCTGTTATAAGGACTATGAGACTTTTCCTGAAGCTGAACCTGTATTTCAATTCTGCCTGATAGGTCAATTAATCCATCGTCCCAAGTAAGCTCAATACCAAATTTGAGAAAATATTACTGCGATGGGTAGTTTAATACTTATGGACGAGTGAATAATTATTCGAAACCGATAATTCACCCGGTGGTTCTTTCGAACGATCATTTAACAAGAATTTATCAAATAATTATAATTGAAAGTGGTTCCATAATTTTAATACTCTTCGAATTACATACTTTTAGCTTTCTGTTTATGATTGTTACGATGAGAATTGGTGGCGGGAAAACAAGAAGCATCAAATCTAGTTCAGTTTTTCCTCCTCTTCACGATTCCTTTGATGAACTCTGTCAATGGGCGTGTACACCTTAGTAGAACTTCAAACTCAAACCATGTTTAAGATGATCCTTTTATACATAAATAATGATTGACGACACAATTCGATCGAAAAATTAACTGGATTGTTTTATTTTTGGACATAAATAATAGTACCTTCTGAAAACGGACCCTCTCATGACGTAGAAACCTCATCTCGCCATAGTTGAAGGAAAATACCAAACGCCCGACGGAGACTGAGGCAACTGATATATTAATTCTTTCAACTGTGATCTCGCGCTAATTCACTCTGTCAGAAATCATGTATCATTCATCTCTGTCTGGAATAGTCTTATTTCAGTATAAGGGTTTTGACGTCACATCATCTCCTCGTTTTCAGAGGTCCGAAAAAACGGGGATTTCAATAATTTTTTATAAAACGTAGGGAGCTCACAGCAAGAAACGGTTTGCGGTGGTAAGCTAGTTTGAGTGAGTTCTATCGAATTATAAAATACAATTTTTTTGTGATATAAGCCCATAAGCCGAACCTGGATTTTCACATCGTCCGATAGGTGAATGAATTCAACGTCCCAATTATAAGCTCCATACCAAATTTTAGAAAAATATACTGGGTAGTTCAATACTTATAGACGAATGAATAATTATTCGAAATCGATAAATCGCCCTGTATCTCCGGTATGAAGACTCTAAGATCTATCAAATATGGTATTTTCAGAACCACCTTGGTGACCCCTATGTACCATTGAAATATTTCCCTTTATCTGTGAAACACCCTGTATACAAATCCATCTAGACACTCTCGGGTGAACTTAGGAAATTGAGGTTATTTCGTGGTTCGTCAGGAATACGCAGACCAGTTGGGCATCCCCTTTTTGGAAACGTCCGCGAAGAACGCTACCAACGTAGAGCAGGCCTTTATGACGATGGCAGCGGAGATCAAGAACCGAGTGGGCCCCCCTTCTTCGGCCGCCGATCAGGGTAACAAGGTTAGGTTCGATCAAAGTCGCCCGGTCGAAACTACCAAGTCGGGATGTTGCTGAAAATTTTATGAATTTCCCAAGGTGAGTGTCGAATTTCATCCTCATTTCTTTCAGGAATCTTTCATTTGCTTCATTTTTGTGTGAAGTGCTGCAGTTTAAGTAAAGTCAATTTTTCACTTTGTTACGAAATTCATCAATTTGGTCCATCAACACCAGTGGTGAAAAATTTTCTGTTACTAAATTCACAGAGCAGTGTCACCTGACGTCACAACATGGCGCACTAGTCGTTTTTATCAGCTGATCCGATCTCATTCTTTCTGACAATTCTGATCCATTGAGGATTTTATTGAACTAGAAAAATGTGTATATGTTGTTGAAAACTGAGAGTTCATTGAGGTGTATTAGGTGAGGTATATTAGGTATATTAGAGCCGTGAATCCAGTAATTTCAAATTGACAAATGAACCAATTTGAACTACTCATTGGTCTCACTCACTTTTCTCGCGAGGAAATTATAAATATTTGATTACTTATTTGTATGATAAAATTCTACATGATATTAAAAAAGGCATATCATTTTATTGCTACTAAACTAAAGTAAGAAACTTCAAGGAGTTTATTTGTTTCTCAAATTAATATTTGATATACAGTATGATGCAAATGTATGGAATAAATTCATTTCAAAACAAGACGACTTCCGAAAAAAATCCAAAAACTAGAGTTCAGAACTTTTTTTATTGTGTATTTTCTCAACTAGACGACCCTTCGATGTTCAATTCTCAATAGCAGACCTCTGCAAGATTGAGTTAACCAAATGATAATCCATTTTAATAGCAATATTCTTATGCAAAATTTTGACTGTTGGATAGACGATCAGTAGACCTTTCAAACGAGGTGTCACATGACCCCTGCTTGTATTTGAAAAAATCGTCCATTACGTCATTACTTCTACACCAGTGACGTAACATCTCTCATATGAATGTCATGAGATGAGGCTTCAAAAATTAAAACACGTGTTTTTGGAATTTCTTCAAATGTCGCCCATTTCTGAAATAATGAATTTATTCCATACATTTGCATCATACTGTATATCTGCTACGAAATTTGAAACAGTACTAAATTGTATTCATATTCAATGACTGAATGAAAAACAAGAAATACATTTTCATTCATCAATTCCTTCTGCCTCGAATTGATGAATAGGCGAGTGGACTAAATTTTTTTTATTTCTTCAATAGAATCATCACTCAAATACCTTCAAATTTCATATTTATCAAGAATTTTCCGTTCGATTTTAAGGTGCTAATATCAACAATAATGCTACGGTAATTTTCAAACTGCTTAAAATTGACCGCGAGTTAAAACTGACGTCACGATTTCATAAGTAGGGGCAGACCATAGCACAGTTGCCATGTGTTGAAATACGATTGGGAAATTCAGAAATATTAGTTATTCAATAATTCATAAATCCTCAATTCCTGTATTGGTTTTATTCCTGATTAGACATAAAAAATCAATTGTCTAAATATTCCGTCGTATGTTGTGGCTTATTGCTTATAATACATTTGTATAATAATATTATTACATTTATTCACACTACGCACGATGTTCTTTGAACATTATAGGGATTCCATTTCGTGCGCTCCAAGCGATAAAAAAAAAACAGGACATTCGAGAGTAAACGTGACAACACGGTATCACAAATTGTGGGCGGTGTCTTGTCAGTTCTCAGTATTCAGCACATTGTTGCCAAGGCTTCAACATCAACCATATGTTCAATTTGAAATGTCAACGTGTGTTATTGTCCACTCGCCCATTGCAGGGTATTCAAATGGTGTTCATATCTGTGGAATTAATAATAATAATGATAACATTTATTGATCCCAAGAAACATACAATGTTTATAGAGGGAAACAACAAAAAAATAAAATAAAATCAAATATGCAATACAATGAAAGATAAAAGTTCAATCAGAATTAATTGATACAAGGGGAGAATTAAATTGATGAAATATATTTCTTCAGTTCATACTTTAATTTTGTGACGAATCTAATAGATTTTATTCTGTTGGGTAGACTATTATAAATATTTATTCCACAAAAATACAATGATTTTTTCCCGAATTGGGTTTTTATTTTAACAGTTCAAATTTTCACTTTGTCTGGTGTGATGCTCATGGGTATCAGAATTGATATTGAAAGTAAGATTCGAGTGCTTTTTCTTATTTTTAGTGGAATGAATGAAAATGCATACTTTCATTTTGAAGAGAGAGTCAATATCTAGTAGATCTCTTGGTTTGTATAGTCTAGATGTTGATTCCAGAAATGGTAGTTTATAATTACATTTTATGGCTTTATTTTGAAGAGATTTCAGAGGTTTCAAAACAGATTTTGCTGCAGTACCCCAGATCGACATCAGATACTGCAATTTAGAGTAAATCAAACTGAACTAAATTAATTTCAAGTATTTAAGAGGTATAAAAGACCTCAATTTGAATAATATACCAATAATGGGAGATATTTTTTTCCTGAGCAATTGAATATGCGATGACCAAGATAGAGTCTGGTCTATAGTTAAACCTAAGAGTTTGGAGTCTTTTGTAGGATTTATACAAAAATTCCCGAATTTTTACGGATCTATTTGGTATCAGGTATAACTCTTTTCGAGATGAACATAAAAGAAGATTTATCGAAATTGAGTGTCAATTTATGATGTTGTAACCATAATGTTATTGAAGCGAGATCTTGTTCCATTTGGTTTTTTATTTCTTGTATATTTTTTCCGTAATAAATGAGAGTTGTGTCATCGGCAAATAATTTTAAATTCCCTTGTAATTTCAATCTTGAGATAGAATTTATATAAATTAGAAATAAAATAGGTCCGAGAATTGATCCCTGGGGTACACCACAAGATATGTTTCTTATTGAAGAAAATGAATCTCCCATATACACAAACTGCTTTCTATCAACTAGATAATTTTCAAACTCTCTGAAAATATGTTTGTCTTCATCACTGACAACCCTTGACGAACTGACGTGGTGTCCAAATTTGTTTCCTTTTATTCATTCAATATTATTTTTTTCAGGATGGCGGCGATCCTTCACATCATCGTTTTTGTACAGTAGCAAATGCTACAATGCAGTTTATATAAAAATATCCGTCTGTATGTATAGTTATTTTAAAAAAATATTATATTTCCGTCTCGCAATGTTTTATTTGAAATTAGTAAGGAAATATCATTATAATTTTAATTTCAACTAGGTGAATTTGTAATGAACTATTTATTAACAAAAAGTTCTGTAGAACCCCTAAAGCGGGGATCACATGTATAGGTTATATTTTTCGTCCCTTGGTTTAGCTTAGTATTACCCCAATTCAGTTGGTCAAAACATTTTCAAAATATTAATAATTGGATATTCTTTCCCACCTTGTAGTGAGTAATGTTTCATTGATTCTTCAAATCATAAATATGAGAAATAAGAACATATGAATGTGATTGTAATTCCTGATGCAAAGGAATCTTGGTTAAAGGTTTTTGTAATTTATCAAAAAATATAATATATTAGCCCAGACTGAGTTTTTGTATTGTTTATTTCAAAAGAAAAAAAAAATAGAAATGATGCACTAGGAAGAGTTTTTGCACTTGCTCATGTTAGCTGTTTAAAATTTGCTTTTAATTCGATAGATAGACTAGAATCCAAAACACTCAAGAATAGTCGATAAATTTTTGATAGCATAATGGAATGATGATATAAATATGAAAGTTCGTTTTTGTAGTTCCATTTGTATGAAAATTATTGTGAACTAATATGAATAAAAATGAGTAGTATTGAGTTATATTTTTTAAGGTGAATACAAAGAAACACACATTCCTACTAATTTTTATTAAAATATATGCTATAAAATGGAACAATATTCAGAAACTTAAACACAGACATAAAAATGTCTCAGAATGGTGAGAGAAGGAAGGCAGTTATTGTATTTTCTCAAATTTTTGTACACCTAAAAATCTTGGAAAAATAAATCATAATAGTAAATTTCTTTATTGTGATGGTCCTACACATAATTTGATTATTGATTAAAACAATAAAAAATAACAAAGTTGTAAATTTGATGAATTTGATATAAATCGAATACAAGTTATGTAAATTGTTTCTCCTAAAAATGTCTTATCAATAAATCTAATGATATCTGGATTAAATTATTTCGGACAATCTAAAACGAAATTTAACTACAAAAGGGCAGGTACTAGCATAAGAAACTTGATAATGCGTTGGCATAAGCCATTGGCTTCACATCTGGATGGGGCTGAAATAATAAAAACAATATTTGAAAGTGAACATCTTGGAAATCCAGAATTATTGGTACCGTCAAATGGGGTAAGACGGATAAAAATCTGAGTTTTTTCTTGCGCTGCAACCAAAGTACATTCCTTGAGTGTGAAAAAAATTTATATGATTCGTATATCCTTCCTCTAGAGCTTAGTAAAAAAATTTAAGAATTTAACTATCATGAACGATTTCTAAAAAAATTCCAAAGTGTGATCCGCTTTACCCCGCATTCTGGCCTGAAGAGGATCATACCTTTCAAATGTCTGAAAAATCACTTCAAGCATGTCAATGGGTGGAGAGGATGAAGAAAATTCATTTTGAAAAGAATTCCGACGAAATAAATAGGAGTATGTAAACATTATGAGATTACCGTAAGCCGTATAGGCATCAAACAATAACCATCTCAAAAACAAATAATTTCATCGAATTTTTAGAAGACACAAAAAATACTCAAAAATGATTGAACACTTGAAGAAAAATAGATAGGAAGTCATTAGCGCACGTACAAAAAAAATATGGGGGTAAGTGTGTACTTGACCCCCAGTATTTTGAATATTTGACAGTTATTTGCTGTTTTGTTTTCCTCACACGATGTAACTCTTCATGCTGAAGTAATGTACCAATTTTGTGATTGATATCTTATTAAATACGCGAGTAATTAGAAAAAAACAGTTTTTAATTTCCAACTTTGACACCCTGTATATCGAATATTAAGGGCTAAAATAAAAAATGGTATCTAGAAACTCGTTGTTGATGTTGGTTTCTTCTGAGTAGGGCATTGTGACAGATATTTTACCCGACAATGAGAACATTTCAAGATTTTTCAATGTTTTGAGTTGTTTGGAGAAGATAACTATTTTAACTGGAAAATGTGGTCTGATTTCTTGCAGTTATTTTTACTAATAGATCAATGATATTTGAGACAATGGTAATATTAACAAACATAAATACACGGCATTTGAAATGAAAAACAATCAAGTACGGATCTGTCATTATTGTACATTGACCCCTGATCAATGCATTGAATAACGGGACGTAACGCAAGGTTTCTGGAAAATATGATAAAATAAAAATCAAAATATAGGACAATTCTACAAGTAGGTATTCATGGTGTCCTATTTTGCGGAACGTTATTTCATAGTATTGAAAAGGAATATCTCAGAAATTTACGAATATGTATAAAGAAATACTTTGAGAATTCGCATTCTCTTTGTGATGAACATATCAACTCTTTATCGGTATATTCAACAGAAAACAACTATTTTCCTGGCTATATGCCACGACGAGCATTGAATTATATCTATAAAATCTATATAAATCAGGGGTGAAGTATTCTACAGGAATACGAATGCAGGGAGTAACAAATCAAAGGAAACAAAATGAGTACCACAAAATATTTTCATGATTCAATATATAAAATCAATTTTTTTAACTAGCAAAATCAACGAAAATTTG